CATCTCCATCTCCCCTTTCCCAGTGCCCATCTCTCCTTTCCCAGTGCAGTTTTTGGGATGTGGGGTCCGAGTGCCCTCTGCTGGGAGCAGCCCCGTTGGCCAAGTTCCCGGCACTAATTAATTGCTCATTAACTCACTCTGTTGTCAGTGACGCCAGAATTGTGAGTGATGATGTCATTCCATGGCCCCCCATCCATGGAATGCTTGGCTCTGCAGCTCCCCTCTCCCTGGCTGGGGATGGGATGGGAATGCTGAGCTGTGCCAGTCTGGGTCCCACGTGCTCAGGCATCGTTAGACCTGCTGACTAATTAGGACACTCTGGAGTTAATTGTTTCTCTAGACTGTTAAAATGCTTTTAGCATCACTCCATATATATATATAGATATGTTACAGATATAGAGATATCTAGATACACAACATATATATATATATATATAGCAAATATACAGTTATAGAAAAATGTGTATTTCCATATATATTACATATAAATACTTGAAGTTAGATATAGATATAAATAATGATACAAATATACAGATAATATATTAAAATATATAAAATATATTGTGTTATATACAGTATAAACTAAATACAGATTTAAGTATTTATTGATATGTGTATATAAATGTATAGATATGTGTATATATATGTGTGTATAAATGTATTTTATGCTGATCTGTGTTTCTTGTATAAAATGTTAAAAAGCTTTTACTGCATAATGATTGGTGATTTCACTGTATTTTAATATCAGAACATAAACTCTTGCCATACCTTTTTTTCTGGGATGTACAGGGCAGCCTCAGTTTTCTTCAGATTCTTGTTGCCTTTCTAATATACTGAAAAATAATGAAATAATTATGAACAGAAGTTGTTCCACTGTGCATGAGAATGTTTGGGTTTTTTAACATAATTTAAATAATACTATGTTAATTCTTTGAGGATATTTTGATAATGGCAGCTTTATTTTACTTTATTCGGTCTATAAATAGGTAAAGGGATGGAAATAGCAATTTGTCCATGTTCAGGGAATAGTGATCAGAAATAATCTTGATATTTTAAATGGCTTTTTTTTCTTACCATCTATTTTGAACAGTTCAGAGGGAAGATGGGAGGGCTGGCTGATATTTGAGCATGGTTTTAGTGTTTGCCAAAGTCAGAGCACACTTGGGAAGCCCCGGTGGTTTCCCTGACAAACAGAAGATTTCCTGTGGGCTGCTGAGGTTCCCTGTCCCTT